TGTGTGTGTCCGAGTAAGTTGAGGCAGTGCGTGGGTCTCTGTGTGTGTGTCAACCTCTCAAGAGAGCCGGGTGGTCGGGAGACATGACTCAGCTGCAGGGGCGCCAGAGCAGCCGCGAGAGATGACTCATCCGCGTACTAAAGTTGTACTACAAAGTCGCCAGTTCTCAGCTTCCAGCTCCACAGATTGCTCCGCGTACTAAAGTGGTACTACAAAGTCGCCAGTTCTCATCTTCCAGCTCCCCAGATACTCCGCGTACTAAAGTTGTACTACAACTTCGCCAGTTCTCATCTTCCAGCTCTCCAGATACTCCGCGTACTAAAGTTGTACTACAAAGTCGCCCGTTCTCAGCTTCCAGCTCCACAGATTGCTCCGCGTACTACAGTTGTACTACAAAGTCGCCAGTCCTCATCTTCCAGCTCCCCAGATACTCCGCGTACTCAAGTTGTACTACAACTTCGCCAGTTCTCATCTTCCAGCTCCTCAGATACTCCGCGTACTAAAGTTGTACTACAATGTCGCCAGTTCTCAGCTTCCAGCTCCACAGATTGCTTTCGTTACTGAAGTTGTACTAGAAAGTCGCCAGTTCTCATCTTCCAGCTCGCCAGAGACTCCGCGTGCTCAAGTTGTACTACAAAGTCGCCAGTTCTCATCTTCCAGCTCCCCAGATACTCCGCGTACTAAAGTTGTACTACAAAGTCGCCAGTTCTCAGCTTCCAGCTCCACAGATTGCTTTCGTTACTAAAGTTGTACTACAAAGTCGCCAGTTCTCATCTTCCAGCTCCCCAGATACTCCGCGCACTAAAGTTGCACTACAAAGTCGCCAGTTCTCAGCTTCCAGCTCCACAGATTGCTCCGCGTACTAAAGTTTAAAGTTGCCAGTTCTCATCTTCCAGCTCCCCAGATACTCCGCGTTCTAAAGTAGTACTAGAAAGTCGCCAGTGCCTGCATTTCGCGCGCTCGACACGCACGATCTCCGCAGAGGGTTGCGCACGGACCGTGCCAATCGCACTCTCGCCTGCATTTCGCGCACTCGACACGCACGATCTCCGCAGAGGGTTGCGCGGGCATGGGACAAATCGCACTCTCGCCTGCATTTCGCGCACTCGACACGCACGATCTCCGCGCCAATCGCACTCTCGCCTGCATTTCGCGCACTCGACACGCGCGATCTCCGCAGAGGGTTGCGGGCACACCGGACAAATCGCACTCTCGCACTCCACACGCACGATCTCCGCAGAGGGTTGCGCGGGCACAGATCAAATCGCACTCTCGCCATCTGTCTCGCCTGCATTTCGCGCGCTCGACACGCACGATCTCCGCAGAGGGTTGCGCGCACACCACACAAATCGCACTCTCGCCTGCATTTCGCGCACTCGACACGCGCGATCTCCGCAGAGGGTTGCGCAGGCATGGGACAAATCGCACTCTCGCCTGCATTTCGCGCGCTCGACGCGCACGATCTCCGCAGAGGGTTGCGCGCGGACCGCGCCAATCGCACTCTCGCCTGCATTTCGCGCACTCGACACGCACGATCTCCGCACAGGGTTGCGCGCACACCGGACAAATCGCACTCTCGCCGGCATTTCGCGCACTCGACACGCACGATCTCCGCAGAGGGTTGCATTTTCGGTTGACGCTGTTCGTCCCACCCTCCGCCTTTAAGAGAGAATTTATAAAGTGTGGAAATGTTTTTCATTAGGACATCTCCCGTGCAAGTTTTCCACACTCACACTTGCATACTCATTGCATACTCATTACACTTTTACACTTGCATACTTTTGCACTTGGATACTTGCCGTTGGATGCTTTCACTCTTCCACTTACACTGGGATACGTATAGAAGTGTAGGTTCATGTTCAAGTGTAAGTGTGGAAGCGTAAGTGTTCAAGTGTAAGTGTAGAAATGTCAGTGTTCAAGTGCAAGTGTGGAAGTGTCAGTGTGTAAGTGTAAGTGTCGAAGTGTCAGTGTTCAAGGGATTTTCCGGAAGAACCCTTCGCAATGCTTTCGGGCAAAAACAAGAAACAAACCAACCAAGACTTGAGTACCACAACGACAAGAAGTCCAACTACTAAAATCTCTCCAAACCTTCGACCCTATCCCTAACTGAAATCCCTGACTTGCAACATGTGACAACTTTTCTCTACCGACAGCAACAACAAATATCACCTCTTTCCACCTGCTGTTGGGCGTAAGCCACTGAAATTGTACTTGAAGGAATTGAAGGAACCAACCAGCCTACAAAGACTTACTGCAAATGACCGTAGAGAGTTAGACACGACATGAGAAACAAGCAACTCAACGCCATTATGCAAAAATCAACATTGGAGGTCGTCACATGCTTTCTGCCACCCCGTCCCTTTCGTCGGAAGCACGAAAGTGTATACTACAAGCAACGGTCATATATCAAAATGAACTCAAACATCTCATGCTCCTTGGCCTCATGACAAAGCTCAGCGTGTGCTTGCCACCAAAGATTGTCAAACGTAGTGCGTGACAATGCGAGGTAATGCATCCAGGGTTTTCCTTTTGCGCGCGCACTTCAGCTTGCACAATGTCTCATTCTGTAACTCTCCAGACGCACAACCAGGCAAAACAAGCCACCCAAACGACAGGCAGAAGCGTTTGCGTTTGTTCAAACAAACTAGCGCCCAGCAAGATGTTGGGACAACTGGGGGGGGTTTGCTCCCAAAGCAAACCTTCCCAACGACCCTACATATTTGTGGGGTTGGGGGGGGGCTGGGGACAGCTTCATTCGTGTTACTGTACTACTCCCGTAAGTCGACCTTCGCGCTGCGCTATCGGCTTCGTGACTCGACACTCGCGTTACACTTTCGGCCTAGAGGACGTAGCGGGCTCCACGTTTGAGGTTTGTTTGTGTTTGCCGTTAGTTCTTTTGTCGCGTTTGTCCGGTTTGAAGTGCCTGTCTTGAAAATCCGCCCAAGTCATCGTCTTGGAGTTCATGGGGCCAGCCCCCCGTTTACCCAACATGTTGTCCCGAATGAAATTACGATTTCCGATAGCAGGATTGGATCATACAGAATCCTTCTGCCCTCGTGCGATCCCAAAGGCATGGGTCTAAGATGATGTTCTTACCTGCTTTGCTGACAAGAAGCCGATCAAACACTTTGCAAAGTTGATGCACAAACTCACAAAGAAAATTTGATTCATTTTTTGCGCGCGGCTTCAGCAGTCTAAGTTCTCGCCCTCTCTTTCTCTCTCCCCCTCTCCCTCCCTCCATGGTGCTCAGGACCTGAAATGCAGAAAGTAGAAGGCCCTCGCAAAAACCAACCTAAAGAATTTACAGCCAGTAAGGAAAGGATTTCAGGCCCGCTCAAACATCCCACACCTTTTGGAAAAATGGGTTTTGCGCTCTTGTAGGTTGGTTGTTGGGGCGGGGGCTGACATGTAGTACCCAGTGCGCTGGGGCAGGGTCTAAGAGTTTTCAACAAACAGGGAATTTGTCTCAGACCATACTCCAAATCACCATGACCACCAAAAAGAGCATAACATACACACAAAATTGGAAAACTAAGAAGCGAGGGACATAGTGACCAGGGGTCTGGCCCTCGCCTATCTTATGCATCAAGGCCACCCGAGCAGAATGGAGCAATCCCTTACTCCATTGTGCGCAGCTTTCTTGTAGTTCCCCCGTGTCGAAAACACCAGACCAACTTGCCAAAAGAACTATTGTTAAGTGATTATCCAAAAATTGAAAAGGTCTGCCATAGTACCAGACTTTAGGGCCTGTATTGGTAGGCTGACGATTCTAAACCTTTGGCTACCCGCCATGGCGGACCGTCAGTACTTGTGGGGTTATATAGCAAGGTCTTGTAATTCTTTAAACATCTTTAAACTATGTGATTTTGCAACATTTTCGGACGCGCCTGAGCACTGCGGCATACGTGGGGGCACGGCAGATTTCGGTCGGGATTCAGGCGAACTACGTGCGCGGACAGGCTCTCGTCCCAGCCGAACCTCCCGAACACTGCCACCCGTACGCGGCATTCCGTGCCACACGCATGGAACACCTAGTGCTGTTGCGGAACTCTAATTCCGTATCCAAATATGGACAAGGCAAAGCCGCGATCATAAAAATGTTCGCATGCAAAAAACGGTGCGTTTGCATGCGTTTGCTCGATACGAATGTGCGAGTGTCAAGACAATGTGCAAAATAATTACATATAATTACACGGAGGCGCAGTGTTTGGTGCACTTCCGAAAAGCTCTGAGTGCGACACGTGTTCTGACTGACGGGCGCGGAAAAGAAACACCTAAACTCGCGGGGCCCTGCCGTTTCGTGTGTGCAAACGCGCGTCACTAGAGGCCCGCAGAGCCTCAAACAGATTGCGACAAGCCAATAGCATCCGCGATTCCCTTGCAGACTTTTCTAGCACTGTACTTCCAGGTAGGTGAGCGCTGCCAAGTATTGCCAAGCAAATACATACAGCAAGCCCATCATCTCATTGAACAAAGTACAGTTCGTCAGTCGAGTGTCGTCGCGGCCCTGTCCAGTGGAGAAGCCGCGCCCTTAGCAGCCCTGCAAGGTTTGTCTCGAGTGGCTGCTCGCCAGGCTGAGGAAACTGAACAGCCAGCTCAGCCTGGGCAATAAGGCTCAGCTGGCCTTGTTTTGGTCTCAACTTCATCTTTTCTCTGCCGGCGCAAATTGAGTAAATGTGTTGGAAAGTCGCCATGTAATCGCGTAAGACAAGTCAGAATCGACCGCCCTTGAGGATTCGAACAGATTTCCAAACTGTTTGTTCCTGGCAAACTCTGGGTTGGAACTCATGGTCAAACTCAAGCTTTACCAATACCTAACTTTTGAGGACCCTCCGAACGGTTGAGGTGCCTCAGCTTCCTTCGAACCTTCCAAATGGTCCTGCCTCCTGGAAGTCTGGCGAGTCCATCCCAGCAACCAGCGCTGGGTACGAAACACAGAAGTCATAGCGAGGTGGTAGTACACACACCTAGATCGATCGGGAGTATTGCAACGAGACTCTGTGAGTTTTCAGTGTTGCAAGATATGTAGTGACGCACACACACACAAGTCTTCTGAAGTGTTGCTATCATGCTTCCAAGACCTGGACTTTGCCAAGATTGTTGTGTGAGAGGTGAACCTCCCCACGGCTCAAAGATGGCAAGTCCTGTCAAATTTGGCACGCGATGTTTCAGGATGTGTTTGACAGCTTACGCAGCAATCCTTCAGCAATAGCAAGCAGGTCATAGTGACGACTCTGTCACATGCAAAGCGGCAATGACTTTACTTTTAGGAACTATTACATTGGGCTTTGAGGCACGTCGACTAGAATAAGTCAAGTAACCTCCATGCAGCCAAGGAAGCGTCCCGAACCAGCCTCCCACCTGCAAAGGGGGCAAGCTGCACCTACTTTGATTACTTGTGTGGGAGGGATGTAGCTTTAGAACTTAAAACGTGTACAGCAATGTACTAATGCAGGATATCACAGTTTTTGTAGTGGCCTGCTTTGCTGCTTGTTCAACAACCCTATCTAATAGTGCTGGAACTGCGGCGGTGTGTCGTTTGCAGGATTTATACCGACATCATTACAAACCTTGGAATACTCCTCAAAGTCTCAACACTGCTATTCTGTTGCCAAACATGCGCAAAAATACCACAGCAACAGCAACAACAACAAACCCAGAAAAATACGTACTAAAAGTATCTCCAAACCTTTCTGCCCCTTGTGTTGTGGAAAATGCGCTTGAATGTGTTTGATGGGATAAATGCCTACGTCCGCCTTGGTTTTTCTCTGACGAAAACAAGGCCACGACGGATCAAGGCACCTTGGGTAGCCGCCCCAGGAGAAGTGGGCTGCGAAAAAGCTATGTTGCAACATCTGGTCGACTGATCGGACACCCGTGACAAAGTGGTCGGCAGCAGCAGAAAGGAAAGCAACCAAAGCAGTGTAGATTTGCCTGGTTGCGGGTTGCGGCGTGTCGCAAAGGTTGGGGGCTTGAGATGTCCAAACTTAGTCGAGTACTTTGGGAACTTGCTAAGTCGGGTTCCTTGACCATCAGAACTATGGCAGGCCTGTCGGGTCGGAGGCTCATGACACCGACAGAGATCTCCGAACCTTCCAACACATTGCAGAGTGCACGTTCACGTTGCAACAACACAACTCTACTTGACATCGTTTCTAGCTTCCTTGTTGAGTACGCAGCATGCCAATTTGGTTCTGCTGTCATAGACTCAAAGCTCTTGCAGGATCAGAGTGCCATGGCCAATGCTCTCATGTTTTAACTCTTTCCATCTTTCTTCAGCTCAAAGTGAATTGCGACAGTCTTAATTTGGTCTGCAGCAAAAATGTTGAAAGAAACAACCGCTGCGCGCAAATACCTTTGCCTTTGCCATCTCGTGAAAGGTGCGCGGGCGCTGCCAGTGCAATCTCATCCTCCAGTGGTGTCACCGAACTGAGTTGGCTGTGTGAGATGTGGTAGGTTGCATTCTTCTACTTTCAAAACAAGGATGATCATGTGCTTGAGCTGCGTTGACAGCATAGACTCACTACAGGGCAAATTCTGAAACAAGTCTCTGGGAGTGCAAAAAGTTCATCAATTGGCCGATGCACCAATGTGTCTGCATCCTTGCAGAGCACATGCAGTTATATGAAAGGTGCAAACATGTGCAAAGTGGGGAGTTCACGATTGTGACATGCCTGCGTGCATTCGACTCAAATGGAAATCAAAACCAGACTTCCCAGGATGCAAGATGCGAGTATCTTCAGTTCCACAAGATCAAACGCGCCCGATAAAAAACAAGCTGCCAGGTACACGATGCGGCGGTATTCAGTGAGCTTCCACAGCTTTATCCTGGGCTAGAGCCATCGTGGCACCAAGCCACAACAAACACATGTGTGTATGCATGGGTGGGTGGATGGATGGATGGATGTATGTGGGACCCTCTCTCTCTTTCGCAATCTTCCAACACGACAAACACAACTTGCCTGAAGCCGCTCGCTGTGTTTCTCTACCCTCACCCCAGCTCTGTGTGAGACCCTGCTCACCTGTGCTATGGCTCGACGTCACCGCTGCCTCCCACCCGCCGGGGTTCCTTGTCATGAAATGGCCCAGATGGCTCACAAACTCACGTTTTGATCAGATTATATACGCTCTTTGGCTCTGGAAGGATTTCAGTTTCATATGTAACACTTTGTTTTCCTTCCTTCAAGGTGGATCGAAGAAAATGTGCATCCATGCGCTCAGTAGGGGTATCTGCAAATTGGACCCAGCGTGTGCCCGTGCGACTCCCTTCATCCAACAGTTCCTCTCTGGAGAGTACCTCTCGTTCTTGATCTTTTGATTTACATTTCAACTTAATTCTGGTGGCTTATGTGATGTTGATCGGCAGTCTCAGCGTTACTTGGGAGACTGGGTTGACGAGGAATTCTTTTCGGTAGATGTTGGTGCTTGTCGTAGGTGGTGAGAGCTTGGGGTGGGTGTTTCCTCATTAACAAGTGCCCATTATCGATGGGCATTTCTTTGGGTTCAAGTTCCGTGGCTGTTCTGGTATTTTCTTGGCGGTGATCGTTTCAGTTTACCCAGGTGGGAAAGCCATACTGTATGGTTTTCGCAACCTTCATGGGCGCAGTCGGTTTAAACATTCATTACCCATTGCCCTTGCTCGAGACTGGTAGGACTCTCTTGCGCCGCCACCAACACAGTTTCTCTTCCCTCACTCCGGCCCTGTGTGAGACCCTGGGCTATGGCTCAGCGTCACGCTCCCCGCGGGTTTGCCTGAGATCCTCATGAAATGGCACACGCACATGTGTGTGTGTGTGTGTCACCACCTGTTTCTAAGGTTTCCACCCGTTGCAAACTAAGTCAATTTCCCTTAGGGTTTAAAAATAGGCAGGGGGCCAGGCAGGATGCATCGTCGCCTGGTCAACGAAGCTGGCGATGTATCCGAGGATATGGAAATGGGACGCCATTTCCACGTACCTGCTGAAAACTTTTGTTTACGCAGTGACTCTACTCTTCCTTTTTGGTTCCATGGTGGTGCTGAATGCTGTATCCTAAAAAGGTTTCTATGCGCGGCGATATTTCGACCGGCTACGTATTCAGTAACTAGAATCCGCAGTCACGCAGCATGAACACTTGCTCAACATTTCAAAAGCGCTGACCGCTTCACCTTGCGTTTCCCCCATCCATGTTTTTGTGGAATAGAGGTAACTGAAAACCAATTGTCAAAGTGTGTGCTGCGCTGTCGTCCCACTGCGTGCAGGGTGTGATCTCCCGCAAGGGAGCGCCGAAACCATCGTGGATCACATTTCGACTTAGCATTTTTCTGCGCGCGTTGGATTATCACTTACTGATTAAGTGTCTCACCCCATGAATCTTCTGACCACAAAACTGCCGAGCTTACGGAGATTTGACGCCGCCGCACTTACGGATTTGTGTATCAGCAGTGTTCTCGAGGTTCCAGAGATTTTGCTCGAGGCTTATAGGTTTCAGGCGAAGCTTTAATCAAGGGAGCGCCGTTTACGGCAGTGCCTTAGAGCCACACCCCCACCCGCCTTGCGCGCGAATTCACACTTCTTATCCCACCCTCAACAGAAGGAAGTTGCACTCAACACACTTGTGTGTTGGCGCCTTTCCTTCTGTCTCTCCTGTCCTAGTCTTTCCTACCCGGGCGGTCTAAGACTAAAGTCCCGCTCGCTAACTATTGCACCCAATTCATTCGGCTAAGTAGTCAGTAACTAGAAGGTTTCATATCTAGTGGGCCTCGTAACTGCTCCTATCTTTCTCTCTGGCCCTCTTCGTTAGCTCTTTCTGTCTTTTCCTTTCCTTTCTTTCTAAGGCTTGCTAGGTGGCTAGTATACCTCTGGAGCGCCGATATCGGCTCTCTGTGTGTGTCACCACACCTGTTTCTAAGGTTTCCACGTGTTGCAAATTATATAATTCAATTTAAAAAAGGCAGGGGGCCAGGCAGGATGCATCGTCTGGTCAACGAAGCTGGCGATGTATCCGAGGATATGGAAATGGGACGCCATTTCCACGTACCTGCTGAAAACTTTTGGTTACGCTGTGACTCTACTCTTCCTTTTTGGTTCCATGGTGGTTCTGCGCGCTATATCCAAAAACAGGTTTCTACGCGCGGCGATATTTCGATCGGCTACGTATTCAGTAGCTAGAATCCGCAGTCACGCAGCATGAACACTTGCTCAACATTTCAAATGTGCTGCCCGCTTCACCTTGCGTTTCCCCCATCCTTTTTTTTTGTGGAATAGAGGTAACTGAAAACCAATTGTCAAAAGTGTGTATTTGCTGATCACCGCTGATCACCTGTTTGACTGAGAGAAAGAAGCCATCAAGAAAGAACTCTTGCAAATGCTTTCTGAGAGACTTCAACCACCACGAGAGTTCGACCGTCTCCCGTGCATCCTTTCTTGCCTGGTGGACTGCAAACCTCTCTGAAGTAAGTCTATAGCTAAACTCGGCGGCGAGCCTCATCTTCAGCGCCTGTCTCACCTCAACAACTCGCGCAAACGTGTTTGTGAAGGATATTGCTTCCATTTGCTCCCCATACCATCCTTTAAACATACAGGACTGGTCTAGCCAGCAACCTGTTCTTTTGCCTTCCTTCCTTTGTTTCGGCTCCATGATCTCCTTGTCGTTTTGCGTTTCAGCTACCACAGGAAAGTGAATGCGTATAAGTCTTGAACGCTTGGTTTGTAGCTTCAACAATCTGCTTCTCTGCGTCACCCTTGCCTCGTTGCTTGCGCCGAGAGGGCACGGAAATACCTTCGCTGCTGAAGGTGGGCATGACCTGTGCAGTGCATTAGAATGCATCGACGCTTTCTCGCATTTGGCTGGCCAGCAAATATTGACGGCTTAACATGTGTTCGCGCAGGTGATTGAGGGGCTGACCAAAGGGGTGAGCCCATCGCCTTCCAGCATCGCGCGTACTTCTGAAGTAAGCGCGGCCTTCCGAGCAACGCGCGCGACGCGGCGCCACATGGTGAGCGAGGGCAGGGGAGGCAGTGAGTGCATCAGGGCCCCAAAGATGCTGGGCAACAGGAGCCTTGCGAGGACCATGAGTGATGGGACGCCGCTGGCAGACGGTGCTTCTGGGCGATGAAACGGCAAACCATGCTGAAGGCAGCGTCGACAACGCTCCATGGAAATGACGGTTTGGGCTGAAAGCTCGGTACAGGTAAGAAAGAACACTGCGCCGCGACCAAAACCACGCGAAAAACACATGGGCCAGCAGCTGTGTTTGGTCAAGAGAAGGAGTGAGGATGAGCAGGAATGAAATTTACCACAAGAACACGGGACTGAAAACAAAAGACTTTCCTTACGCTTCGCCGCTTCCTGCGTTTCTCTCAAAAACTACTGCGAAAGGGGGTTCCGCAAAGAACAGCTACCAGCTTCAGTTTCTACATCAGCGCCTTCATCATCGTCGCTCGCGTCATCGTCGTTGTCGTCGCCGTCATCATCATCACCATCATCATCATCATCACGTGCGTCATAGTCACCATCACCGCCGTCGTCATCATCGCAGGTAGATATCTTTATCTTTCTGTGTGCGTATGTCAGTGCGCGATTCATGGCAGTGTCTGTCTCACCCGGCGCCGGTGCGCCCGGCACCTCTGACTCCTCCACTTCCTTTGCGTTTTCAGCATTCTGGACATGGCCCTTGGCATGGGTCTTGCACACATTGACTCCAGGTCTTGAAGCCTTTGTAGGTGTCAACCTTCTTGGACAACTCGTCGAAGTCATGGGTCAAGCCTTCAAGGTGCGTGACCTCAAGGTCGTCGTCATCGGCAAGCGGTCCCCCGCTGCGTTCATCGATGTATTCGCTTGTTTTGCGATTGCTCGAAAGCGTAACCGTGATTCGCGCGCAAGAACTAGAACGATCCGGCGCTAGTATCGAAGAAATCAATGATGAACTCGGGAACTGGGAAGGAACCCCGTCGCGACGTAGGATGGTACTTGCAGTTGTCTCCAACATCCGCAGTCCCCATGAGCACCGCAAAGTGGGCATCGAAGCCCTGTGGCGGCGTAGTCCGTCTGATTCGCGGTCCACGGAGCCAAGTACTTGTTGAAGCGTTCGTGCTCGGGCAGGGCGTTCTTGACATTTATCAAGTGTTGTTCAAGTTTCACGAGTGCTTCGCCACGGGCATTTAGCGCGGAACAATTTGTGATCTTGAGGACTTGATGTCCGTCAAGCTGGTGAATGATGATCTCAAGTCGTTCATTAGCAAGTGGGACTCCGTCCTGGCGGGCATGAAGAAGGAACCCGAGAACAATGTGCTTGTAAATTCCTCGGCGCACTAAAGTGTTGCAACTGCTCAGAATATCTGGCGGCGTCTTCTCAGTGTTGTCCGGTGTCTGTGGAGAGATGCTGAACTCTGTGATTGGTGTGAGTGTCCTCCACAGATCTGTCCTAGGCACCTGACAGGATCACAGGAGGCTGCCAAAGAAGCGGCGGTTTGTCAGGGAGGAGTCTGGCGCTGCCAAACTGAGAAAGTCCTGTGAGCAGTGCAAACATCGATTTTGGCGTGGAACTTGGTCAGGTGTTGGTGCGTATGTGATCCATGGTCTGACGCTGATGTATATTGGCCTGCTGCTGTGATCCATGGTCGAAGCCAGGTGGCCTAGGCATGTTCTGTAGAAAGACGAGCAAGTTAAAGACGAGCAAGTTGACCCGGCACATCTTGGGAGCCCAGCTCCATTTCGATCTGGATGATTCCTGAAGCTTCTGGCAGGAGTATGGATTGGGATGGGGTTTGAATCGTTGGCATTCTTGAAGTAGAAACTGATTGAGTTGGTCCAACTCTGGTTGATGTGGACTGAAATCTCCAAGTTGCTGGGCGAGAGAACAAACCCATTTGGTCCATGGTGTGGTTGCTGGCTCTCCATGATGTTGACGAGTAGAGTAGTATCCTGCAGCCTAGTCAAACCAGAAGTTGGGTGTTTCCATCCTCTCCATTTGTGAGGGATGGTAGCCAGTATAGGTTGACCCAGAAGAGAATGTAAGTAGACAGGCTACCGTGTGTGTCCATCCCCTTCACGACGCTTCACCAACACAAGGTCAATTCTAGACTGAGCATTCCGCGGGCCCTGGTAAATGGGTCCAGGTGTTGCCTCAAGGCAAATTCGTTGCAGAAGTCCAGCAAGTTGATCTGCGTCAGGGTGTCTGGAACCATGCGTACGACCCGTGGCATCAGGAAGGCCAACGCAATTCTGAAGGTGCCCCAGACTAGTGTTCCACTCGCCCGCAAGTATCCAAATGTTCCTAAACTCTATTCATGGTAACTGGGGCTTTGGTTTTTGCAACTGGGGCTTTGGTTTTCCAAGCTAGGTTGGTGATGCTGAGCCCCCGTAGACTGTGCACAAGCACACAAACCACTTAGTGAATATCCATGGGAAAATTATAAAGTTTCTATGTGAAGCTTTAAAGCTTGGAAGATGTGATTCAATGATAGAAGGAGGTACAGGAAGGGTTGGCTGTCATTGGCCACAGCTTCACCACATTGAGTAGGCAATGCTGCTCTATAGCACACATTTGTTTTGATATGTTTGGGTCCTTGGTCCTTGCTTCTTGACCCTGTCTTTTTGTTACCACCTGGCAATGTGCAAGGTAGAAGAAGCACGTATCAAGCCCTGTAAATTTGATAGTATTATTGTTTCGTCAACATGCAGCAAGGTTCACACGCAAGTATGATTTGTTCTCCACTCTGGCTAGAGCACACTTCAGTCCAACACTGGGTACATGGTCCTAGGTTTGTAGTAAATGCATACAAAGCTGCCAAATGCCAGCCAGGTGGCCCAAGCTAGTGAGGGAAGATTTCTAAAAAGAAGCAAACTCAATTCAGCAGCCATAGTATAGTTCAACACCTAACCCAAATCTCAAAACTAAAAGTAGAACAGGTCAGATATTTTTGTCGCCTGTTGATTAGCCTTGTAATGATGGAGTTTCAAAAGGGCATTGTGGACCTTCTTGCCATCATTGGGGTGGCCATTTGGACTATAGCTTGCAACGTTTTTGAGTGGATGGAAGATAGCTGCCCAAGACTTTGTTGCATCAGGCGTCCCAGGACAGTCATCTGCGACATGTGCTACACACAGCTTGTGGCTCCCAGATCCCCAAGGGCAAGAACCCTTGTACCTACGACACAACTCAGGGCAGCAATTCTTCGCAGTGCGCAGCAACCTGCTGAATCGGGACCCGAGCGCAGTGGGCTGAGTGCGCATGAGAGCGGCTAGGTAATTGGCCTAATTGGTCCTTGGTCCTCGGTCTGTGGTTCGTGCGGTCCTTGGTCCTAAGGTCCAAGGACCACATGGACCATGGACTGAAGCCTGGGCCAACGCCTGATGGACTGACGGAAGCCTTGTATCACATGGAAAACATGCAGCGCTGGGCTGGGCAGGAAGCAAGTTGGAAGTAATATCTATGTATTTTACAGGCTATACTTGTGGATTCAGTGGTCCTTGGTCCTTGGTCCTCGGTCATTCCCTGCTGCCTTCCTGCCAGGCCTGGCACAGCCATGCTGCTGCAGCAGCAGCTGGCAGAGGTGCCTGTCGGGAGAAGGGCTGGGCTAAATGTGTTCCGGAAACAGTTCCTGAAAGAAATGGCGTTCCAGAAACCATTTCAGGAACTGCGCCAAAACCTAGGGAAACACATTTTCAGGTCAATCACAAACCAAAAAAAGTAAACATCCAAAGTCCATTAAAAAACACGCTCTCTTTTGACACCCTGCAAGATCAAAAACATTCAAGAACACAAAAGCTCATTGCAGTTCTTCATGTTGTTGTTGCTGCTGTTGTTAGTTGGCGTTTTGTCTGCACCTTCCTGCCCCTCCATCCTCAGTTTTTTCATTCCAGCCATGCACATCCAGCAGTCTCCAACAACACCAAGTTACAAGTGAACCATAAAGACCAAGGACCAAGTCCGCCTCACTTTTCTTTGCTTCTGCGTGTTACAGCAGATCGAACCGAGTGTGCCATTGCAATGAATTGATCACTTTGAGTGCCTCCATGTTCATTTTTTCTGGGCTGCCTTTTGATTTTTCATACTAACAGACATCTTGATTCATGTATCATTTTCCTTGAGGCCCCATGTCTGACTTTGTCTCATATCATATCTCTGTTTGTTTGGTTCGCTGTGTCATCATTGTCATTCAATTCCTGTACGTTGGAATATAATTCCTGTATGTCGGAATGCAATTCCCGTTTGTCGGAGTGTAATCCCGTTTGTCGGAATGTAATCCCGTTTGTCGGAATGTAAGTCCCGCTTGTCGGAATGTAATGTTTTTGTTTCCCGTATGTCGGAACGCTTTTTTCCAGGCGACGGGGTGTACCGCGCCACCTGGAAGCCCCCGTATGTCCGGAATGCCTTTTTTCCCTGTCCAAATTTGTTTGTTCCTGCTTTCCCAATTTGTTTGTTCCTGCTTTTTTTCCCTGTCCAAATTTGTTCCCGCCATATTTCCACATGTTGTAAGGTCACACTTGTGAGGTTCGTGTTTGTTGGAATGCTTTCGGTCCAGGCGATGGCATACCCCGCGCCACCAGCAAATCCCATATGTCCAGATGTTGTAAGGTCACACTTGTATGTTATGTAATGTGCAAAAACTTACTTTTAGGATTTATGATTTCTTTTTTGATCTTTTTGTGCACGACTGGCCGAACATATTTTCAAATAAGCTACTCGGCTTTCATCCCATGGATTTATAATTTTCCATTCTGGGCAGCACAGACTCATTGCACAAGTTCATCATGAGTTTGCCGGCGATGGTGTATAGATGGCCACCAGCAAATTTGATGGTTAAGAAAGGCCAACCCAGACTTGGTGATTTGAAGGCACTGATGTTGTCAGGTTGGCTTCACTAAATGTTCAAACTTGCTGGCGGTGCCAAGTGCCGCGCCACCCACAAACCTGGCTCAATCAGCAAGCTTTTTTGCAGGTGGCTCTGAATGGAAAC